TGTTTTCTTTAAGAGATAAAAATATTTTTTTAAATTCTTTTTAAGCATTTGCTAATGTCTATTGGCGTATATCTTATTCGGCATATGCTTATAATCGATGTCAATTGTCATTACTTTTTTCATTTGTATATTTAACAGTTAATAAATAGGCTTCAGGGTTAATTGTTTTTTACTTGCAAAATTGGGGGTCAGCTCAACTAAAAAAGCTGAGAGTCTGTGTCAAGGCTGAAAAAAGATTTTACGGACCCCAGAACGAAATTTGCATTTGATCCCTTCTTTAAAGAATTAAAAAAACTTATTTTTATGTATTGCAAAATTTTCGAAGAGCCTTTATACGAAATTGAACTTGAAACCATACCCTTGAAACTACAAATTTTCTTTCTGGTTCGAAAACAATGCTCTAGCACAAATTAATTGTGTAAATGTTATTTTTTCAATAATGATCATTATGAAATAATGAAATCAATAATGAAAATGGTGACAATTTCTATTCACGACTTCATCCCATTCTTATGATTAGTGTGATTTTGAATAAAGAGTGCCACAAACTTTTTTTTTTTTCCTGTCCTTTCGTGGGTGGTGTATACTAGCTACGCTCGTATATTAGTTTTCTGAATAAAAGTAGAAGTTGAAAGATTTTTTTTTAAGCTAATTTTTTTGAAGTTGGCCGTTACTATTAAAAACGCTCATAAAATCGTGATCATCTATAATTTGAAGCTTTGTATAAGAACTATGTAGCATGTATGATAGATTTTAATTATTATTTAATTTTATAGACAGTTATTTTAAACATAAAGTAAAATTTGTTTAAAATACGAATAAAATGTGTGTTCGAAATGTTTTATTATGTTATGCAGATAAGGTTATTTTATTAATCCCGATTTATCTTTTCTTTTTCTAAATATTTATGATTATTTGTAAACCACATAAGTACTAGTATGTGCGTATGTACAGTGAGCAAAGTAAAAAAGATAACCTAAATAATTTCTGATCTAATGATGAGATATCCTTATACTAGAACTTAGTTTAAATGATTCAATGGCTTCTCCTTAAATTTGCTGTGTATATGTGCAGATTAAACGACACAAAAAACGCACTTCTCTCTGAATAAAAATGCCTTGATTTTTTTTCGTCAGATTTGGATTCTTTTTTCTAGAAATACGGTCCCAATAGCTTGGTCACGAGAGCAATCAAAAGTTTAGATGCCTTAAATTTTATTTCATTTTTGATGTATTTTGCTTTACCTCGAGAACAATTTAAACGAAAGGAAAATATTTCACACACAATTATAAAAATTCATTTATCCTAAGATATTTCCATTTAAAAAATAATTATTTATGATTATTATCTTAGAAAAAGCATTTTGATATGTAAGATATACAAATTTCTACGTCATTTTAAATTATTAAATAAAAATTCGAACAAAATCGGTCAAATAGTTCCTGAGTCATCAAACTTTAAAAACGAGAATAAAGTGGCTCTCAAAAGAGTTCGCACACTTATGACTTTTAATAAAATATTGCTTTATTCATTAATGAAAATGAATATCTCAGAATAGATATTAACTTTTGCTTTGTTTTTAAAATATCCCATGCAGTTTTGTTAATATATTAAATATCTTTTATAAAATATCTTTTACTAAATAACCGTTTAGAAATCTCATCAAAATAAAGATAATCTGTATTCAGGATCATGCAAACATTCATGAAGTAATAATTCAGTCTCTTAAAGAAATAGAAAGAGTATCTATGGTACCAAATATGTTACAGTGTTCCAATATTAAATTCTGAAAAACGTAAAGGAACTTAGAATAACTTAGATTTGAAACGGAAGGATAATATTGCATATGTTTATAACCTAGGCATTATGGAATGCCCGATGTATTTCGTACTACTTTGTCAGTTTATTATTTGAAGTTTCATAGAATGCCTAGGCAATGTGCGAAACTTTTGATCATTTGATACTCTGTAAGAATTGAACATTCAAAGAAGAATTTCTAACCATCCTATAGAATGCAGGATTTCAAATTTCATCAGCAATGTACATAAGATTCTGTTCACGTTTGAAAAAAAAAATTCTATCAGATTTTGTTCCCTCCATAAAGAGATTTTGAATTTGGGAGGGAAAAAAAGTGCATTATAAGTGTGAGCGAGATACCGTTCTATGGTTCAATGAAAAGACACAACTATTTCAATAAATATATTTTAATTGAGATCAATCACAACAACATTTTTGAGAGAACAAATAAGTTTACTTGAAAGTAACATTTATAACATACGTAATAGTCTGTTTTTATTGAACCTAACATATTCGCAATACTGAGTAATGATACTTTCACAATTTTTTTTTTTTTTTTTTTTTTTTTTTTTTTTTTTTTTTTTTTTTNTTTTTTTTTTTTTTTTTTTAAAATAGGAACTAAATCAAATGTAAATACATGTTTTTGTATGATAAAAATAATGCTCCAAAAATTACACGACTAATATCTTTTATTGTAAACTAAATTGTTATTCTTCAACTGATTAAAAAAAAATTATTTTTCAATGAGTAAATAATTATTTATCTGAAACATGAAAGTGTACGTTAAAGACATTACATTTATGTGGAACATTTTAAATACAAACTTAACTTTTATTGCACATATAGAAATCCATAAACACACATCCGTTTAACAATTGAAGAGTTTAGAGGAGGAAGGTGCTGAGTAACATTTTTGAATTTTGGAATAAATCTTATTGTCTTATTTAACTATTTAGAAAAATCTCTCAATTTCTCTCTCAAAGATTCTCAGGTACTAAGAGACAGTTTTTTTAATAAATTTCATAGTGGTAGAGGATTACAAGAAGTAACTATCAATCAACAATAACCTTAGAAGGTCTCTTTTCCTAACACCAAGAACGATATGACAAACATTTTAAAAGTAGGTTGTTGTGGAGATTTCACACAGGTCATGAAGACAAGGCATATGCATCTTTCAAATAATAATTAAAATTCAATAAAATATTACAATAACCTTACGAACCTCTTTTCATTCATCTGCAGCAGAAAAGTGATGTGCTTTATGAACTAGAAACTGGGTAAAATGTTCATGGTTAGTTCCGTATCTGGACTTTCGTTGTCTCAAATGAAACTTTGGTAAAGACGTAAAAAAAAAAAAATTGCATATAAAAAAACATTACATTTTTCGCTTTCCAAATTTCGTATAAGTGAATATATTGTGGTGAAAGACAAAAAAAAAATTATAAAACTCCTTAAAATACATAAAAATTTAAATTGTTGGGGGAAAAAAAAGAAAGACGTTATTCAACAAAATATAGAATTTAAAAGAGTCACGACTATTGTAGATAAAAGCGTACATATCAATCAATCCTACCTCCTTCTTGGACAGGTTTCTCGTTAACAAACATGTTTATTTTTCATTTTATTTAAATTCATCAACATAGTAAACCTATTTTGAGGTCCTAGTTGGAAAAAAAACATTTAAAAAAAAACTTTTTATAGATATTTTATTAAACAAAGCAGAAATACCATTGTAAATATTTACCTTATTATTTATAACTCATACATTGTAAGCTTAAAAAATTACTAGCAAGTTGGAATGATAAAATCCGAATAGTTACTCAGCATTGTGAATATATATGTTTTTGTAAATATTGCACTTATGTACACACTAGGAATCGCAGTGATTATATTTATATTACATCTTTTAAACATAGTAAGAACCTTTTTGCAAGAAATAAAGTTTAAACTTATATATATATAAATACATATATATANCTCCTGTCTATTATTATTATTATTATTATTATATGTGTATATATGTAATTTATCAAAGTTTAAAGGAAAATGTTATATTATCATTCTATAAAACATAAATATGATGGCATCATTTGCAAATCAATCAACAAAATCTTCTAAAATGTTATCCTAGTTAAATTAAATCTATGTTACAAATCATTTATAAATATTTAAATTTATTTTCAAATAATGAAAAGAAAAGCTGGATTGAATAATTTTGATTATTGCATAATAAAATTTAAATAATAAATATTTTTCATTGAAAAAAATAGTCAACATACCTAACCTTAAAATTGTTAACATTCATTATAAAGCATTTCATATACAAAAGTAGTATGGCATGGTAGTTTTAACAAACAAAATTTGTTAGCATAGGTGGAGAAAGTTTATAAAAAATATATACAAAAACTAAACTAATTACTAAGCAAATTATAATCTGAGCACACACTGTACGTTAGTTTTGGAAAATAGTTTAAGTTATATTTCTATGATAAAGGGAATTAAAAGAAATAAATTTTAAAAAAAGGGGAATAATATATACTAAGCAATTACTTACACATTTTTTAATCACAAAATTTTAAATAACTTTTTTAAAACTGAATTGCATAATTTTGAAGATTTATAGAAAACAGCGTGCAAATTAAATATATAGCAACTTACAATATCTAAAACTGAATGTTTTATTTTAAATAAAATTATAATTGCTAAAAAAAAAAACACTTTTTCTAATTGTTGAAGGAATAGCATCTAATAAGTTATGTTGACTAATTTTAAAATCAGAAGTTTTTAAATAAATTCTCCCTTATTATGATCTAAATATATAAATATTAATAAGTATTTTTGATTTTTTAGAAATTTGAATTTTTCGAGCTTAAATATTTTAAGTAGTATGCCCATCCCCAATTTATAGAATAAAATAGTTATACTTTTAGAAGAATATCAGAAAAGCATTATTTCAGTAACTACTATTATTCTAAACAGAAAATTGACATTAAGACTTATGTTTAGTCTTTCGACATGAAATACAAATAATTTTGTCATATAAGTTTTTTGAATTATATTGATCATGTAAATCAAATTTCTTGAAGGTAAAATGAGGCAGCAAAAGTATTAAAATAAGGTAAATAAAATACAGAATAGTATTCAGACATTCTTTGACTAAAATGAAACAAGACAGAACTAAAAAAAAAAAAATTATAGTAATATAAATAAAAATAGACATACAATTATTTATTTTTAAATACAACATAAAAATAATAGAAATAAAGCCCATAAAACGAATATACAATTGTAAAAGAGACAATAAACATAGAATAGCTGCTCATACAACTATATCACATAGAAATATGAAAGAATATAGTGCTAAATGCAATTTGGTTAGATATATTATATAAATGAATGGCTAAGATTACCAAATCATATAGATGTTTCAAAATTCAAGAAATACTTCGCAGGAAGATAATAAAAAATGTTTGAAAGAAAATGAACATTAAATTCTTTCCTCATTAAATATTCATAAATTCATGTAACAAATAAAATAAACAATATAAGATGGTTTAAAAGAAAAATACCAATACTTCTGTACACACTCTTACTACAACTGTTCTTAATAATTTAATAGAAAAGGAATGATTGTAGCCTATGTATATGTAATGATATTTTATGACTGCTTTAAATGCAAATTTTGATAATCCTTGTTAAAAATTAAATTAAATAAAAGCATACATATTAGAAATCTAAATTCAATATTTTAGCTAGGAAAAAAAATTTCTATTGAAATCTAACAAATCACTACAGAGAAAGATGGAGTTGAATACTTCACAATCTGTTAAATTGCCAGAAGAAACACAGAGTTGTGGAAAGATATATTTTTGAAACAGTTACAAGTTTTAATATCTGATACATTTTTTTTTGATGATGTGTATATTTAACATCATTTTTAACAAGGATTCAAAGAAAAATTAAAGGTGGTCATTACAAAGCAAATTATACATATTTAACACACACACAATATGATTTCAATAAAAGTTTAAATTTCAAAATGCTATAAAATAAAAATAAAAAAGAACCACTCAACAAAACATCAAATTTGAAACGAATATTAATGAAGAAGGGGGAAAGCGTATGGCATAAGGAAAATTTTAGCAATACATGTACGGAAAACTTACATCTATTTACATTTTTTTTAAAACACCGAGTAGGCAGCTTTTCATTGATTGGCATCTGGGAAGGATGCCATGACTGTCTCAATGAACTATCAGACTCAGCTTATAAAGCTTTAATAATTTGATAAACAAGAACGATGGCTGTGAACCAGCAGCTTTGCATAAGTTCTAGACATTCAAGGGTATAAAGAGAAGTGGCATGATAACAGATGCGGGTCTGAAGAAAAGTATTCAGAAATTACAAAAAACAGGTTCTTTTGATGTGCAATCAGATAGAGAGAAAAAGAATTGGTTCAACATCAACTGAAGAAGTGGTCACAGCAAAGTGGGAGGAATCGATCAGTAGTGAACAGTGCACAGGATATAACCGAACATTCATTATGCCTGTTAGCATGATGCATAAAATTTTACGAAACGTCCTTGAGTGATATTCTTCTAAACTTACCCATGTGCATGAGTTGCTTCCTGATCATCAGCTAGCAAGAGAGACTTTTGCTTAGAATTTATTTACATGCGAGTGGACAATGAATGGCTGTTTAACAGGCACGCATGACACAACAGATTCTGAATGTGTCCTTGGAGACACTTTGGTCAGTTACAGAACATGTAATTTCATCATTTCAACTTATAGCAGGAAACAGAGGACAGAATATTGAACATGTTTTGAGAAAGTCTAACAAAATTTAGACTGATTTGATTGATGCCTTTTATGTGGTTTTTGGGCTCTGGACAATTAAAAGCAGATTTTTCCCATCTTATGTGATATGATGGTGAGTTTAACAGTATCACTTACAGTATCTGTAAAATCATGATCACTGAACAATACTATTGGTTTGACGTTAGCCATTGTTTTACAATTTATTTGCCATTTGTTGTCAAACCCTTTTAAATTATTGTGTTTACAGGGTCATTAGTTGCTAAAATTTTTGAATATTTTTTTCATAAGCCATACGTTTTCCCCCTTCTTCAATAATATTCCGTTCAAATTTGATGTCTTTCTGATCAGTGGTTCTTTTTTATTTTATAGCACATTAAAACTTAAATTATAATCCCCCTGTGTGTGTATATACATAAATATATATACATACTTTTCATTGTTTCAAATTTTTTGTTAATTACTTAGAACAGCATGTCAAAAATATTCACTTAAAAAAAAAATTCTACAGCATGCAGTAAAAACTAAAACTTTGCTGGAAAATATATTATGACTGGTATTAACTTAGTAATGGGTTGAATGATAAGAACTTAGCATTTTCTTTAAACCTTAGCCTGAAGAATTAAGAGTTCTTCAATTTCAAAATAAGAAATAAAAAATATAGGGTATCACAGTATCACTACATAGGGAAACCAGCATTAAAAATACTTTGATAAATAAAATAATACACAGCATAACTCTACATATCTAGTAAGCACATCGAGCATATCAACAATCACATTTAATATACAACAACAGTAATAACACAAACTTCAGGACTTGAGTCCCACAACATTTTCAGTTACTTCTTCTGTCTTACCCTTTAAGATATTCTATCTTTAATTTCATCATACATTACTTCCATAAGAGAGACAAATGTACCAAAATAGTTGGGTTTGAAATCGCAATGTGAGACTATTTTTCACTTCAAAAAATAATAACGAATTTTGAATAACAAATAAAAGTTAATAATATAACTGTAAAAACTGAACCTTAGTAAGTTGACTTACTTAATAATTTAGTACAGCTTAAAATGTACATTCCTAACAGTGAAAATCAAAATATAGTAAAAGATTTTATTTTTGAAGAAGTTTTATTTATAGAGGCTTTAAATAGTGAATAGTTATTCTAAGATGCAAAGTTTTTTTTATCTGTATAATCCTTAGGGAAATGTCACTCAAACTTTTTGGCTCAGCAACCCCTTCATAAGTAAACAAAAATGTGACTCCTCCCACCCGAAGCTATGCAAGGAAAAAAAATAAGGAGACAAAAAGAGAGTAAAAACTATTATTTATCATAATGAATGCTTCTTTTAAACAAATTTTGGCTTGCTTATCAAAGTGAATAGATAGGCCTGATCATTGAAGCCTTAAAAATATTAATTCCCTTTGCTACAACTTTTATCTGCATTTTAATAATGGCATTATATACTAAATACAGAAATAGCCTGTTATCGCCTTAAAACAATTTTCTTTTGTCTTTTTTTTTTTTTTTTACTAAGGAGCAGAGTATGAAAAAAATGAAACAAAGTCGGCCATCCCCTTAACTATATAGATAACAAGGCAAAATGTATTCAGTAATACAACAATAGCTTGGACTGTAATGTTTTCTTTTCGTTTTGAGTCCGACAGAATCCCTTGATAGAGAAGTGCTGAACTAAGATGGCATTGAGATACAGTCAAGGACATTTGTAGAAAATCGAAATAAGAACTTTCACTTAAATTGAGATTGCATGCAAGCTAACATTCAAATTTTCAAGACATGACATTTTTATACAACTTATAGACATTACTTGTTTTATATATTGACAAATAATAGCGTCAGTGAAATTTTTTATTTATTATTATGATACAATTTACAATTAGTAATTTTTATTAATCTCTATCAAAATTGTAACTTTTTACTTTTATTTAACTAGTTTTGTTTTTTTGTTTACTGCATTGTAAAATGTCTGATTAAAAAAAGTATTAAAGGTATACTTTTTTATAAGGTCAAATGTGTTCATTAGAATTGTGACAACTGCTTGAGTGGTGAAAATTACATAAATTGTCTTAATAAAACTGAAATTGATAAACTATATAATCCACTTTAAGAAGAAAATAAACAAATTCTATCAACATTTAAAAAAACTATCAACATTTTTACAAGTAAACAAAACACCAAAGAAGTAAATATAATTGCAGACATAACAGAATGTATTAAATAAATACTCTTTAAAAAACAGATTAAAAAAGCAATCAATATACAAAAATGATATTAAAAAAAACTAAAGCATCAAAAATATACAAATGACTAGATGACAATAACAATGTGCAGAAGACAAGCATATGTTAAAATGTTTATATAATTATAAGAATAACTTTTTAGCTTCCCATAATCAATAACATTTAAATTCTGTGCAAATCTTGAAAACATATATACATGGAAATATTTGATCTGCTTGAAATTTTGCTGGACTGCATATTTTATGCACTCTTACTTAAGTATTTCAAAATAAATTGCCACAATTTACTCATAGCAAAATAATAAATGTGATTATTCATAAAATTATCAAATTTACTGGAATAAATTATAATTGTAGTAGCTGGATATTCTTGAGTCCTTTGTATTCAAATATAAAATTAAAGTTTGACACTTAAGAATGTTATTCGTTTTTTTAGTTGCTTTAAATAAAAATTAAAAAAATTAGAAATCAGTAGATTTTCCAAAATTTATTTTGTTCAGATTTTAGAGTGAACTCTTTTTAAGTATCTTCTGCACATAAGAGGATGAAAACAAAGAGATGAAAAACCAAAGCTTGTTCTACTGAAATTCATCATCAGAGCTGAGAAGAGTAGACTTTTCATTATAATTATGACTTATAGTAGATATTTGGCGATGTTGAGAGTTGTTGCTGCGTCGGGGAGCAGGATTATCTTGAATGCTGCCCCAATGACTCACAGGAGCGGCTGGGGCAGTATATTGAGTATATTGTTGGTATTGAGGATGAAAATTATGTATGGCATCATTCATAATATCTTTAGGATTCATTGTTTCCTGAGAATAATAAATAAAAGTATTGAAGAAAATAGTGTGAAACAACATTTGCAAGTAAAATAAGTTCAAATGGTATTATTATATTAAAACTAAAAAGAGTCCTCTTAATTTTTTTTTTAATTAACAAAAAAAAAATTATAATTAAATATTACAATAAGCTGAAAAGACTATTTGAATACAATAACTTGAAAAAGAATGAAGTTGGAATTTCTAATGCACAAAAAATCAAACCTGCAACTTTCACAAAGCCTTTGATCAAGAATAGTATTTTGAAAATTCAACAAATTATCATTTTTGATGCACAAATATTTTCATGATACTTAAAAAACGTTAGTCAAGAGACGAATTGCGCGACTTCGTGATATACATAAAGATCTTAATAAATAAAAGAAAAATTCACAAATTAATGTATTTTATTGGCTGAAACTGCACACAAATGTTGATGCTACATGGAAGTATTATCTTCATTACAAAATACAGGAAAAAGGCAATGAAATACTTTTCATTACCATTTTTCTGTATTTTGTAATGAAGATGATACTTCAATGCAGCATCAAAGTTTGTGTGCAATTTTAACTAATGTAATATACAAAGCAGGACGTATCAGTCCCTTTAGTTTCTTTACTGTTCCAACTTTTCTTTTTAACATATTGAAATTCTTAAAAAAAAATTTTACCAAATATACAACACATTCTAACGTAAGATCAAAGATTAAAAGGTCTACTAGCTACCAGGAAATGACTCATTACCCAGACAGATTTTCATTGCTCAGTTCCGGCAGATGAATTTCATTAACTGGTACCAGTGCCGGGTAACATTCTTTACATAATTCCATTTGATTTACAGGTATTGGGAATTTAATACACAGCTGTTGGTCTTTCTACCAATCAGAGAGTGCTGTTTTTCAGTATTCAGTTGGCAAACTCACCGTTGCAGATATTATCGATTTTAGGTAACGGCACAGGATTTTAAGCATTAGCTCTTGGTGTGTCTTGTTATATCATGACTTAGTTAGAACACGTGTACTGGTGAGTTCAGCTTTTCTTAAAAACAATTTGAACATTTCATAAGATAAAAATTATTATAGCTCATTATCTATTGAATTTATCTTTATGCAAGCCCTTAAAAATTTTATATATAAGTTATTTTCATATCATAATGTGAATAAGATGAGATGATGTGATTGGGGTGGATATAATACTAGCATTATCAAAATTGAATTTATGTTCCAGATTCCAACAATGTGCAGAAATTTATGATCTCTCGGATTCTTAATAACGGACATATCTATCTAGTTCAGTAAATCAAAGTAAATCAAATGAAAAATGAAAGAATTTTTATCTGCATCAGCAATCTTTCCGTAGCTAAGTATTACGCCTGTCATTCAATAAATGACAAAGTTTTCCCAAATTTCCACTTACTTTTTAAATATGGTTTAAAAAACGTATAAAAATTATCAAAGATTATTGCCTCTTTTTAAACAACCAGCACAATTAGACTGCAGATTATATTGGAAGGCGGTTGTAAAGAAATATAAATCCTTCTTTTCCTAGACTTAATATTTTAGAGATTTAACCTTATAGCGCTCCCTTTTGTAAAATTTGTGGAAATGGTAAGCAGTAGTCTCACAGGTGACGTATGTGCATAAACCTATTTTAAAAGTGGATAAGAATTAAAGTAAACTATCTGCATACTTTTATGACTCTCAATCTTCATGCAAGAAAAGAAGTATCATTTATTTATCTGCAACGTAATTTTTACACATATTAACATGATGTTCTCTACCCGTTGCTCTGGAACATGCAAAACAAAAGTGCTGATTTATTCTGTGCCATGTATAAAGGCAAATGCCTCTTTTCCACATTGTACATTCTGAAAGGATATATTAATATTTTAGGGACTTAATATTTTAGAGACTTAACCCTAGAGCGCTCTCCTTTGTAAAATTTGTGGAAATGATAACCAGTAGTTTAAATGATGACGTATGTGCATAAACCTATTTCAAAAGTGAATCAGAATTAAAGCAGACTATCTGCAGATGATTTCATGACTCTCAATCTTCATGTAAATTTTAAAAAAGTATCATTTATTTATTTGCAAAGCAATTTTTACACATATTAACATGATGTTCTTTGCACATTGCTCTGGAACATGTAAGACAAAAGTGCTGCTTTATACTGTGCCATGTATACAGGCAAATGCCTTATTTTTCACATTGTACATTCTGAAAGGACACTTAGCATGAAAAGCCATTAACTGTTCATTAACAGGAAGATAGGATCCCAGTTTATAAGAATGAATTTATCCCCAATTCCTCTGAATGGTGCAAATAAATATTTTTCTCTTTTTTCTACTCTAGTTTCTTTTGCATTAAAACGTAGGTGGCTTCAGCCGAAAGGGAAATCTCACATCACTCTTTCCAGCTTTCTACCATTGACTGCTGAATATTATATCAAAGAATTCATTAATGCCAAAATGATTATTTTTCATAGTTGCTGGAAAAAAAATTCCAATAATACTTTCAATAATGCAATCAATAATGTTTTCGTTACTAAATATTTTCATTCAAAATAACGATCATTTTCGTCCATGAATTTTTGAAATTTTATGAAAAACAATAATTCCCAGCACTTCAGGAGTCATAAATTAATTGAACAAGACAAGACAAGTGTAAAGATCTTTTGCTGTGTCCTATAGACCTTGTATAAAATTAATGCTATTTCTCTGTTTTTAAATGCAATCCTAGTGTTGCTTGATTAAGGAACAGATGACCACTTTGATTTGCCATTGAGCTGAAATTTGCCTAGGTATATAATAGGTATATCACAAGACTCAAAAAATCCGTTTTTGTTATCTGTAATTCGTCTGAGCTTTGTTCAGGAGATGAATGGTACAGGCATGAAAGTGGTCAAAAATAAAATTAGTTAAATATGAATCGATAAATCAGTTAAATCTGAAAATCGATGATTTATATTAAAATCGTATGAATAAGAATCGCGATTTTAGCAGAGTCCAGCGCAGTTCCTAATATTTAAAATTCTGAAAATCAGCCAAACAAAAGAAATCAAATATCAGCAGCCAAAACTAAACTGCTTAGAACTCCACAGAAGTCGTGGTTGTCGAGTCAAGGCAACGGCATACCTGTTGAAGCTCCAACCATTTTCTTCTGAAGATCATTTTCTCAGGCGGCTGCAGGGGATAACAAATTCGTTCCAAGTCCGATTAACGACCGGGCGGCTTTGTTTTTTCTTATTGGACTCCCCAAAAATTTAAGTTTTTGGAACAGGGTTGGAAATTTTAAAAATTGGGAGAAAAAAGTGAATTTCCGCTTTTTTGCGGAAGTCTTTCATCCCTGATGGTAGGCATCTTGGGTTAATAACCATTCCAAATTCATGATTTTTCTAGCACTAAGAAACATATTGAAATGTTAGTGTTCCCTATATTTAATAATAAACTAAAAAAATTATTTTTCTACAATTTTAAGAAATGGAATAGACTATCTAAATTAAATCACACAAATCAAACTAGTAATGAGACCTACACAGCAACAGGACATAAATATCGTGAATGAAACACATATTGATTTGAGGATTTTAATATAAGTTTTTATCTCTATTATTATCTTCACAAATTTTTTATCATTAACAAAAGGAAAAATCTTACTTTTAGGCTACTTGATATGCTTTGCATTGTAACAGAACGTCCTTGGGAATCAGTCACACAATCCTGCATGTATACCCTATAAGGGAAAGCATAACGCAGAGCAAGTGCAGCAAAAAACATCTCAATGCAGATCAGAAAATTCTGAATACCGGCTGAAACAGTGCCAGCGCTTGCAGTGTGAGTACTCACTCGAGTTGCAAATATTGGTACAATCACGCCAACTTTTTCAAGAATTGCCAACACGAACCCTGCAAAAAGAAAGGTAAAAAAAACTAACGTCAAGAGATATCAAATTAAATAGAGCTTAAAACATATTAAAATAAAAAAATTTTAATGATTTTTGAATTTTTTGTCACAAATATCCAAAGCTTGAAAAAGAAGATCACAGCTTTAAAAAAAAATCACTCGCCAAAAGTGCTTTTTCTTCAGAGGCAAAATTATTCGAAAGATTACTAGGGCTAAATTTAAGTGACATTTACCTCCTATGAAAAATTTGCATAATGACAATTATGTCAATTAAAAATGATGTTATAATCACTTTGTGTATATGCATTCAAAGTAAAACTTTTTTTGCCAAACAATAAAATATTTAACATTTTCAGAGACAAAATATGCATACATAGACATAGTTTTTTTACTTTCAGATGTAAAACTACTCCACGAGATTAATTTATTAAATGCACTTACAAAAACAGCTACTTTTTGTTGAAAGATTTTACTCAAATTGAAAGAGGTTCAAGACAACAAATAAATTATTGATAACAGATATATATATATAGAGAGAGAGCATTATTTCTCAATGGGGTGGTGGGAGTGTGCTAAGGGGCGGTGAACTTGTTTTGGGCAGTAGGGGGTAATGCTTTTTCAACATCCTTGTGATCTGCTTTTCTCAACTTTTCTCTGCCATGTAAATTTTTTTCATGAGCAAAAATTATTAATTGCCCATTTTTCCATATGTTACAAACTGCAGATTTGGATAGTTTATATTCCCTGCAAATATCAGCTTGATTGCATCCATTTTCAATTTTTCTGATTATGCCCATTTTATCATCAATGGAGAACGTTTTACGTTTACTGCTCGCCATAGTTAAATTTGAGACACTTGTTTGCAGGATTTTTTAAACTGAACTGAGAGCAAAAAAGAGCTGAAATGAGGGCATTATCAACACATATTAGTGTCCAACCCTTTGACCAATAATGAATAATTGCTCATTCCCTCTGACAGAAAATGCATATTGATCCGACTGACACCTTACATCGTCTGCCTGGGTTGGAAACATCTGCTTTGTTTGTTTAGGGATGGGAAAGTGAGATAAAAGAAGCAAACAAGAAAAAATGCTATCGCTACATTCCCCTCTATAGATGGTTTTGAAAATCGTTATCTGTATTTTTTCTTTTTAAGTAGAAATTTCAAAATTATTACAACAAAAAAATCAGTTGAAGACAGAAAAAAGTTCATTATATCCAACTTCCTCACTTTTTTGGTTTACTATATCCTCAAAAAATAACATTATCCGGGTATAGCAAGGCACGGGACCAAACATTTTGTTCACTGTATCCGGGAGTTCACTATAAACAGTGTTCACTATAGCGGGGTTTGACTGTATATATATGTATACCGTTTCAACAAATATTTAGTCTACTTATTTGAAAAGAACAATGTTCAAATGAAAACTTTCTTCAATATGAATAGTAAGCGAATAACTTAAAAGGCTTAAAAATTCTTATAGATTTTATTACATTAATCAAAATGATAAAAAGGAAACCCTTTTGGCAAATAAAACTTTTTTAACTTTATAACCCCTCAGTAATCTTAATGCTCTTGAAATTACAAAAAAAATCTATAAATATCCTATTTTTTAAAATCAAAGTTTGAAGTGGTGGGTGCTATCACTTGATGAATTGATATAGATAATAATTGGATTAAGAACTAGACCTTACAATAAATATGATATGGATTAGACGTTACATTACTAGTTCTTACTGATCATGAATTCATAAGATCTGCTAAAACTAGTATTTTTAAAACACCTTTTTTAATTAATTAATTTAGACCTGAAATCTGTAATGCTGAAAATATGTAAAAGATAAATAATGAATATTAGTGAGATAAAGATAGCACAAGCCTGCGAAATTGAACTTTTTAAAAAATACAAGAGGAGTTATTGTTGATTAATATGTTATTTGATGTGCTGATTTCGAAAATGACCTTCATTTTCCCCAATCACATCAGGATTTTTTATAAAATCGATATTAATGTTTTTACAAAAATCTTATTTGGAAAGGAATTCTCTCAAACAATTTTGCATGTACTATCCGGTAACTGTTCTCTTCATTCATTTTGATCAGCTAATTTTTTATAGGTTAAAATAAATAAAAAATACTGTTACCAGACCACAGAAGTCACCTCTGGTCAAGAAAAAAACAATAAGTTCCTTGTGTTCAAACTTTTTACATCAGTTTCTAGAAGAAAATCCCCAACATACCAATTTAATTTTTTATTGAGATAACTTACGTAAAATTGACGATTAACCAAGAATAACAAATATTGTGAATGTGTATATGAAAGTTTGAAACAAAAAACAAAACAAGCAAAAAACAAAAGATAAAAGTTTCTATTTAAGTATATACTCGTTTTCCTCTGAAACTTATTTTTGATGATCTTCTTTTATGCTTAATCTCAGGTTTATCTCAAGTTATCATCCAACAGTAGTCAGCGAACATGTTCTTGTCCCATCTTCCTTGATATTTACGCTCCATATCTCTGATATCTTGATGGAACCTTTCCCCTTGTTCTTTGCTGACTGCTCTTAAATTTTCAGGGAAAAAGTTCACATGTGAACCAAGGAAATGCATTTTTACACTCATGGAGAAACCCAACGTTTTAAATTTGTCCAGCATTTTAATTGCAATTTCCTTATAATCAGGATCCTTGTAATTACCCAGAAATTTACTGACGACATCTTTGAAAGCAACCCAATCTTCTTTTTCTGTTTCTGTCTCAAATTCTTTATCCTTCATGAATTTTTTCGTATATCTGGACCAACAAATATTCCTTCTTTCAACTTAGCTTGGGATAAACCTGGAAACTTTTTGCACAGGTATTTTAAACAATTGCCCTCTTTTGGAACAGCCTTGACAGACTGCTTCATTATACCTAATTTTATATATAGCGGGGGCATCAATACTTTTTTCGGATCAACTAAGCTGTTTCGAATAACTTTCTTGGTGCCTGGGTCAAGATTTTGTCTTTTCGGCCATTCTTTTTTGACCCAATGTTGAGTCTTGTCATGGCTGCCCCACTCACAAATGAAACATGGATACTTTATAAATCCCCCTTGTTGACCAAGAAGCATGGAGATAACTTTCAAATCACCGCAAATGGTCCACCTGTGGTCGATATATTTTATTTTGTTCAGGATGAGAGCCAGGGTTTCGTAGCATTCTTTTAAATATACTGAGTGTCCAACTGGTACTGATGCATACTGGCTCCTATGATGAAGAAGAAAAGCTTTGAGGCTTCTTTTAGAAAAATCTATAAACATCCTCCACTCATCTTTATTGTAAATGACATTAAATTTACTCATCAATCCAACAGCATCAGAGCAATAGACCAAGTTCTCTTCATCAAAGTACTTAATAAATTCCTTTTCATGCTTCCTGTACCAATAAAAAGATGTTCCATTGGCCAATAAGTTTTTTTCTTTCAGTCTGGAGCCTAACAATTCAGCTGCCTCTTTCGAAAGGCCAAGATCTCTAATCAGATCATTAAGCTCAAGCTGACAGGAGGGCTGAGGTAAACCTGCTAGAGATGGTTTATATTCGATATCGGAGCCTTGAACTTCTGGATGTTCCGAGTCTGAAGACTCTGAAGAGATGATTGGTAATTCAGTTGGAGGCAAAGGCACAGGCACATCAGGTTCATGAGGAACGGGGCGTATGGCCAATGGAATGCTATCAGGATAAGATATTAGTCTTTGATTTTTCCGGTTATACCCACGAACATGGCAGGAGCAAAAATAACAATCATCAAAATGGTTTTGGGACTCTCTCCACGTCATAGGAATTCCAAATCGTAAAGCAGTCTTCTTTCCTAGATGCCATAAGCGTAGATCATTGAGACACTGGACACAAACTTTATGAGGTGCCCAAGATTTGTCCTGATCTCCGAGTTTTATGTCAAAATATGCGAGATAAAGTTGTTTTACATAGTCTGTAATGCTCCTCATGCGATTTTTAACAACATTATATTCGCTGCATGTATAACAAAAGTCATCTGGGAAATTTTCACAATGTCTTGAACTCAAAGCCATGTTTCACGAAACGCCCAAAAAGAAGCAAACTTTAAAATGACTCCCTATTACGCTTGCTAGTGTTTCTCAGAGGTCAGCGGACCTAGATATGGATTCTCGCGGCGTTATTGGTAAAGAGAGATTGTTACAGAGAGAGGGACAGTGACAGGAAGTAGTGATAGAGGGGTACTTTTGTAGATTTGACCAAAGTAGAATGCTGATCAGTCAAGAAGGGAAGAAATTCAAAAACGAAAATTTTTTTATGGTAAATGTTCATAAAAATTCCAGTAAAATTGAATTTTTCTAAAAAATGTGACGTGATGGACATTTTTCATTATTATTATTAACCAGTTCAGCACCAAAAAATACATTAAGTTCAGCTATCAGACCCCTTGTATTTTTTTCATCGCAGGCCTGTGTAGTTAAAGATTCATATATAAAACTTACCTTGCCAAAAAGACAAAAATATGACAGACTTGACTGTACAAAACTTCCAAACAGGTTCAAATGGAGACAAAAGCTCACTTGTCGCAAAGTAAAATAGAACAAGCCCATAGAGAGCAAATGTTACACTTATATTATAGATAATTGTGATGTATAAATATCCACTATTGGGCCTGGAAACAAAAACAAAAATACACTTTTATATATATGAATATACATGAAAATATAACTTATTTTAACAAAAAATATAAATACAGTATAAATCCATTATAACCACGATCAAATGGCGTTAGACATAGCCAAATTGAGTTGACGTTATGGCGAACTTGTTGTTATAAGCAAATTCATATATTAATGTTAGAATTGCAGTATGAAAAAAATGAAATGTAGCATAATAGACATTATTGATAATACTGAATATTGATTTTAATAATAACTGGCTCAAAAATAAACTGGAAGTGCTAGCAAGCAAAGATATAAGAAGGTATGGTAGATATTTGGTCAGCAAAAAATACTTTTTTTTTTCAGGTATGCAGCAGGATGTTTAAAAAATAGCAGAAGAATATTAATTTTGTAAGGAGGAAGTAAACTTTGCTGTTAGTCACCCATAACTTTACAAATATAGGAGTCAGGATTGCAAAAAGGAAATAAAGCAAAATTTTGATACCGGAAATAAGTTAAAATATCTTATTTTTCTCATTTTAGTGAAGTAGTTCCCCTCAGAGTGAAAAAAAATGTAATTCCGTAAATAAATAAAAAATGCAATAATGGATGGCTAGTAATTGTTTAACTTGTTATAAACATAGCGTTTTCTGTATCATTAAAATCAGCATTTTGAATAGCAAAACTGTTGTAATAATGGACTGTTCACAATATGCCATACTTAATACATTAAACTTTTGCAGCATATTTCACAATACTAAAGATTGGGAAAACTTTTTTTTTTTCTCATCTTACCTCCAATCTCCATCTGAATATTTTCCAAGAGGTTGCAAAATAAGTATAATAACAGACATCATGGGTTTCACGGCACAAAACTGAAGTGTTGCCTAGAGTCATAAAAAAGGAATAAGTAATAATAAAAAGGAATAATAAAATGTAAAAACTTATTATTACAATTGCTGAACAATGTGATTGAAAATAGAATAAAAAATTACCTGTTTACAAAATCGTAAGAAACCTATACTATATTGTTTCCCGCCTAAACAGCAAGTTCCATATAACCAACTAGACCTGTTAAATGAGAAACATTTAATAAAAATTAAAGTTTATAAATTAACAAAAACAATAAAATACACTAAGGCACGTGAGAAAGTAATCTAAAAGTATAGCATACAATTGCTCATGTAATAATTACAGTTATTGTAATTTAATTATTCGTTACATTTATTTCAAATCTTAAACTAACAAGCAAACTGGAATTAGAACTCAGATTCTAATAATCGGACTAATTAACATAAACTTTTAGAAGTTTAAAAAAAAAGTTTTCTTCCTTTTTTCTATTATTTTTCTTTATATAATTTTTTTTTTAATTTTGAAAACAATTATTCTTTACAGGGTTCCCACTCTATGATGAGATTGAAATTCAAGGACTTTCCAGGACTTTTCAAGGACCTCAACAAAATTTTCAAGGACCTTAATCTAAGACCAATTTTAAAAATTATTCTCTTCTATTTTACTAGAAGCAACAATGCTTGTTGTGGCAATAATTAATTTCAAATATAATACCTAAATGCTTTGCCTATATAGAGAGAAGAGAGTATATGTATTATGGACTAAAATTTATATTTTTTTAAAAACAACCCTACTGGTTTTACATATTAATTCACAAAATCATTTTCAGCACAATCTATAACTAATGGTAATGAGGTGTTAATGGTGAAATCCTTTAATCCTGTGTATTTCCATGTGAAGGCTGCATGAAAGACAGAGCTAAATCTTAGGTATTCCATATTCCATGACTATTCCATAACCCCCTCCTCTCCTCTATTAAACATCGTTTCTGAAATTATTCATCCATAATTTACACAACCTTCTCTAAATGTTATGCAGCAACAATTCTTTCTGAAAATAAAAATTAGAAGGAACATATCCCATTTTCACCATGTTTAAAAGCATTATTCGTTATGTGTAATCCACAACTGCCAATGAATATGACCTGGTGGGAATATTTCTCTTTTAATTCACACTGAAGCTTCTAATAGAATTTCCAATTGACATAGGGTCCATCCATGGATAATTGAAGTATTTTAGAGAGCTTTTAACCATCATCCATGCATTTGTAAAAAGAGGACAAAATATTTTCTGCAGTTCCATGACCCATAAATTGGGAGGTAAGATACTTAGTGCAAACTTTATTATCAATTCCTTACCATAATGTCCATCTGCTTAGATTGTAGAGACTGATTTAACGTCTCATCAAAGAGTACAGTGTAGCAATCAACATTCTTCAGCTCATTTATAAGAATCCCTTTGAAGTATAGTGCCAATCCAAAGGAGCCCAAATAGGCTCACTTTGTGGCACTACAAAAAAATTGTCTCGCTATACAGCTATCAGCAAACATTTTGGAGAACAATTTACTAATCCCTTCACAGGAGTTACATGAATAATTACTAGTGATGCACTTCAGACTCCAGAGAATTTCAGCATCAAGCACATTCCTTTTGACCAGATAAGAAGACAATGTTACCTCGGCCACTAAAGTTTCTGTTTCACATGGGGCACACGATGTTGAAGGAGTATTTACACCAGATGAATTAGATGTTGATGTCTTTGGAAAAAGAGAACTCAGGGCATGAGACTGCTTTTTTGTTTTACCTTTCTTTGATGTGTGATTTCAGAGCAGATTCTTCCATTTTCGCGATATCGATCTCCTTCATGCATAATCGGCACTTGGCTCTGAACTTCTTTTCGGGCATCGATAAAATCCATTCTTTATAAGCTTGATTATCCATCCATTGGGGATTAAAATAGCACTTCCCAGGCATAACTAGTCTAAACTACATAACACAAATACGAAGCCGTGCCTTTGCGAATACGCTTTACAATAAAGTTTTGAAATGACGCAAACGTAAGGACAAGTGCGGATGGTAAAACGGCAAATTTATTGAAAACTACAAGGTACATATTGTTACGAAATTCGAGAGTATTCCAGTTTCGATAAGAAAAAAGAAGATCTAAGCATATGCGACAGAAGATGAAGTGGAGTCTCGCCCCGAACGCATTGATTGTCTGCTGTGCTCCGCGCGCTTGGCAGACACCAAGACGCTAGGCCCGGTTAGAAACGGTGGCGTTAAAAACCACGTGAGAGAGCTCGGGAACAAAACAGAAAGAACGAGGAAGATCTGCGGGTGTTTTATGAAAAGGGCCGCCGGCAGTATTGGACAAATTCAAGGACCTATCAAGTTTTTCAAGGACCTAAGACGTTTTTCAAGCACTTTCAAGGACCTAAATTTAGCAACAAAAAAAATTCAAGGACTTTCAAGGACTCTCAAGGACCGTGGGAACCCTGCTTTATAAATTGGATAAGTTTTACAAACAGCGAATGCATGCTTTGAAAAGAACATATTAAAAACTCACGATCACATTTTAAAATCTGGCAGTCTTAGTTTACTTCACTTGCACATAAATATTCATTTCAATTTTTTTTATTTACTGGTTCTATGTGCCTCAGGTGTTGACTGACTTCAGGAAATAATAGTAATTTAGTACACATCATTACAAAACATAGACTACATTTCCCTAAGTGGCCCAAAGAAAAGATTAAGATATTTCACAGTAGGCACAGTATACACATAACAGACTACTTTTAAAAAGGACAAACAACAAACCAGAAATTAGTATTATTCACTCTATTTAATTGTAACAAAAACAAATTGTATGACAAAAGAATAATGAAGCACACTATCACTAATTTCAGAGTTACTTTGTTCAGAACAGGAAGTTTTATTTTCCAGAATAATTTCATTAATATAAACTGAACAACTCTCATATATATATCATCAGCAATAAGGGTTTTAATATGCTTTATGATACCTGTTGTGACCCGCCTAGAGTACTGCATTTTGGGTAGATTAAATCTAAATGCCTTTAACCCTGTCAACTTCTTCCATATGGGCTTAGTTGTTGTTAAGGTAAAATTTTGTAACAAAGATTCAGCTCTTGACTCTGTTGCTGTTTCGGCTTATCGCCCTTTTGAGGAGGACACACTGGCTGATGCGGCTAACGCAGTAATCAACTAATGTAGCTCTGGCTGTAGGCTCATCTTCGGCTGTGATGTGAATGCCCACCACATCGTGTGTGGTAACAGTGATTGCAACCAATGGGAAGGGGGGATGTGTTAATGGACCACATTTTATTCAATAATTTATTTTTCTCTGATAAAGGCAATGAAGCTACCTTTGTTACAGGTAACAGAAAGGAAGTCATTAGGCTCACTTTATGGAATTCTATTTCTATAGATTACATATCTGGTCACTAGGTATCTTATGCACAGGTTTGGTTCACCAACTAATTACTTTTTCTATTAAATGCCTCATTGCAGTGAAGGTTACGAGGAGGAACACCAGAACAGCTGATTGGGATTTTTGATGTAGCTGCATCACACTTGAGCCAAATAGTTTTCTTATTTTACCTGGCTTAATTCAGTTTTGTTATTTATCATTTGCAAGGAAAATTTTGTTCAGTTATTTCAGTTCTGGTTTTCTTAACCGCAGTGGTATTTCTACCTTTAAATTGATTGATTGATTGATATTTTTAGTGTGATTTTTTATTTAACTGTAACAGGGCAATTGTCTGATATGGAAGCCTTGGTTTTCAAGGCTTGGTTTTAAATCAGAGTCAAGTATTTACTGTTCCAATGATGTTATCAAGCTTCACTTTCCTCTTGGTAATTATGCCACGTCTTTCCAGTCAAAAGTCTATGCTGTCAGATATGCCGACATTCCAATAACAATAATATACCAATTTACATCTGTTCTGACAGTCATGCGACTCTTCTGTCGTTAACAAGGTGTAAATTCACCTCTTCTCTAGCGTGGGAGTGCTTATCGGTCCTCTGTGACCTTTCTACTCATAAAAAGACATACCGACTCTGGGTGCCTGGACGAGCTTGCTCCAGCGCAATTTTCTGGGGCCCTGAACCAAATTTGGGAATCTTTCTCACATCCTACAGGGTTTCTATTTTCAAGCTCGATGGCAAGCTTGCCTATGAACAATGGCACAACTGGGACGGTCAGAGACAAACTAAGGAGATAAATCGTGACTTGGCAGTCACAAAAAGCATGGTGTGCATCAAAAAGAGCTACTCAAGCTACACTGGAATGGCTTGAGAAAGACAATTGGTCTTCTTACTGGTCATTATACCCTCAGGAAACACACCTCCAAATTATGAGTATTGCATCCTATCCACTTTGTTGTGGTTGTCATCTTGAGAAAGAAACTTCACAACATATTGTTTGCGAGTGTGAAGTCTTTTTTACTCAAAGATTTGAGCATCTGGAGAAACATTGTTCTAAGGCCTGGGAATTACAGAACATGTCATGTGTTTGCTAAACTTTGTTTAAGCTAAAAAGCACTAGGCGCAATAATACTCTGGTCCATGTACCTTGCTCCTCGCAGCTGTCCAAAGTCTATGTCTAAGATTCTTAAAAACATCATTTGTGTTGGTTTAAATAATGTTAGCAGTGTCTTCAAACGCCTCACAGCATTCCTTAATGTATTTTTATTTGAGGAGGCAAATCATAGTATCTTTATTTGAAAGCAAATATATCACACTCAGAAAAAAACAATGTGAAATATTTTTAACTTGAGAAAATTTTTTAAACTTAATAATTTGTTTGGTTATTAAATTTTACAAATTTGGTTTTTTTAGGAGCTGACTTATACACTGACATACTAGAAATTCAATATCTCGTAATCAAATCATAATCTTTTTTACTAATATACTTGGATATATACAGTATGCAAATAAAAATAATAGTGAGTAAAAAAGTTTCAGAATTATGATTTTTTTTAAAAAACAGTCAATTTAAATTCCCAATTTAATCATGATTTAAATCAAGCTTAAATTATTTCATTTACAGAAATAAAATTTAAACAGATCATACCTGATTGGTTTTCCACGAATTTCTGACATGATATTGCCTTCTCCACCCAAATACTCATAGCATAAGCTCAGGAAATTATAGATAACAAACGCTAAAATAAATACAGCAATTATTTATCTTATTTAATTCAATAATTTCAAATACAATAATATTTATCATAATTTTTACTAAATCACAGGAATGCAAAAAATTCTTAAAACCTAATATTTTTTAGCACTTTTATTTTAGTTATAATAGGACATATTATATATACAAAATATTTTCAGAATGAAAGTAAAATTTGCATTGCATAGAAATTTTTTTTTTCACAAAAAAAATTCACTTGATTCCACATAAGCCTTGAATAAATTAACACATGTGTTAAAAATTATACAGGGATGAGAGTAGTCAGAAAGTAAAAAAGAGGAAATCCAAGAATTTATATATATATATATNATATATTCCGATATGAGGGTTTTAAATCACATGAATATGAAACTCAATATCGAATTTAAAAAATACAAAAATACAAATCATGATGCATAACTTTTAAATCGCGCGAATACGAATCCCAATGTCTAATTTTTAAAGCACATATAAATACGAAAATCGATGTTTGATATTACAACCGCAAAAACGAATCACGACATTGGATTTTAAGATCGCATGAATACGAATTGCTACATAGGGTTTTAAAAGCACGTAAATACAAATCGCGATATTGGATTTTTAAATCTCGTAAATAAGAATAGCAATGTACGATATTTAAATCACCTGAATAAGAATCGCAACATTCAACTTTTAAATCGGGTAAATACAAAAATCGATGTTTGATAATAAAATCGCGATTTTAAAAATACATAAATACAAAACGCGAAATTGGATTTTTAAATCTCGTAAATAAGAACCATAACATATGATATTTAAATAGCGTAAATAAGAATCGCAATAAGCAATTTTTAAATAATCAGGCCTAATAACAATAATAAATATTTTCATCGCAAATCCACCTGTATTTTTTTTTTTCATTTGTATTTACACCAGAATACAGGAAGCAATAAAAATGTGGAAGGGATAGAAGCAAGGACGTAGTTTGAATTTTCTGTTTATCTCTGAAAATAGTAAATAAATATAATTATTTTATTTCAACAACTGAATTTTCACAAAAAAAGCGGGATATTTATTTTTAAAAAAAACGAAACTTTCAGAGAATTGGAGTTTTTAATAAAAAGGCTAAAATTCGAGAGGTAAAAGCGAAAAAATCTCATCCCTGTATAAAGATCAACCAGTTTTATCCCAAGGAAATGATTTTTAGAGAAACTTCAAAGGGAGGAATGAGGACTTCAATACTTTCGCTCCAAGGAAAATTAAATTCATCATAAAATATTTTAACTTGCTCAAAAAAATATTTTCGCAGAAAAAATGGAAAAATCAGAAAAAAAGCGGAAATCAGCGAGTCCGCGTAAGAATCACATCCCTGATTATAGAAATCATTGAAATAGCAATAATTTATAATTGCAATTTGTAAAGCAACACATTTTTATTACAATAAAAAATTTTGTGGCAATTTTTCTTAATTGTATTAGACAAAAAGTTTCCCAAGAGCTGTCTAAACTTCTTAAACATATTCTACACCCTTTCTAATTCATTATTAACTTTAAATATCATTAGAATGTAACTATCAAGTTTCTAAACAGATAATTCAAGAAAATATCCAAGATAATAAAAAGAACCAAATTGCAATATAATACATAAAATTCAATAAGTAGAGAGATAACCAATAAAAAGAAATGAAGTTTTCAACTATAATTGATAAAAAAAAATTTCAATGTAATACTCCAGAAGTAATAAAATATCATGTCTATATTTGTAGACTTTATCTAAAGAAATGTAAAATCATAGCACATGCAAGTTTTAAAAAAATTAATAATAGAAAAGAATAAACAATTTTAATGATTGTGAGAAGAAATCAACGTTAAAAACTACAGTATAACCTCAAAAATCTAAAAACTCTGAAATCTTCACAAATGAAACAAGATGCACATGTTGCAATATTATACTTTAAAAAAAAAATTTAAAAATCAGTGCGGAAATCAATAGCAGATGGATCATAACAGATGTGGAGATAAAATTCATGTGAATTTACAATTAAATGGTCACAAATCAAACATGTCAAAAAGTGATTATCCAAACATGGGAGTAAAATAAGGAATTTAGAAAATCTGTACCGATAACTGCAGGATAAAACAAGAATAAGAACATATAAGTAACTAGGAAGTCGAAACAATTAAATGGAATTGTATTATCTATTACTAACATAGTGGAAATCAGACATATTTCAGTGATTTTTAAGAAAAACAATTTGTTTCTTAATATTTGTTACAAACTTATATAAACAAGAAATAAGTGTAACTGCAACAAAACTTCTATATTGATGTACAGAAACTAAGGCTGATATTTTTGAAATTCAGCGTTAATCAGAAGTAATTTTTCAGTACCATGAAATCATCAAGAATATACAAAAGACTTTTAAATGCAGTAAAGTTTAGTTTCAATTCATTATGATCATGTGAATCCATTTAAATAAATAGTAGATTAAAATAATCACTTTTTTAGTAGTTAGTATAAAGATATAATTGAATGAAAAGATTTAGATGATGTTGATGTGCAATTTCTAATAATAAAATAGTTTTTTCTATGATGAAAGAAAATTGGTAATTCAGTCAATTTATGTGCAATAAGCAATTTTTAAATTTAATGTGTATAAAACTTTAAGAACACAGATATATGGAAACATACGTCAACTATTTTGGAAACATTTTAAAGCAGTTAAAATTATTCAAATGACTGTTAAAATGTAATGATGAGGAGGAGAATCTTACCTTCATACCAATCCCGAACACTATCAAAATATATATAATAATTGTCATGAAAAAACAGCAAACTCAGCCAAGAATCAAAAGCATAAATGGGTACGATGAATAAAATTCTCACAATCCAACGTTGCTCAGAAGGACTCGTGTAATAACGTAGATGCTGGTAGATCTGTAATAAAAATGTTGTATAAAGAAAAAATTTTCAATCGTTTTAATAAGAAATTTAAACCACATATTCATATCAGTGTTTACATTTAAAATAAAACTGTTTGCATTTTCAGAAGTTAGTTTTCTTATTTTTCAAATTTCATTGCATAAAAAATAATTTGTCGAAATTATTGAAATTATTGCAAAAAACAAAAAAATTCAACATAAGAGATCAACATTATTCTGTGTAACATTAGTTTTGTAAAAGAAAATAGACTTTAAATGACAACTTTCATCAATGTAGTGATGAAGAAGAGTCCAGTACCTATGTATAAACACAAAAAAACTAACGAAGTGTGCCTTCGCATTGGAGAGAAATATTGCATCATTTCAGCTTCAGTGAACTACAAAACAGATATGTTAAGCTACCATTAGCAGGAAACTAATAAAAGTAATTAATCAGATATGTTAAGCTACCATTAGCAGAAAACTAATAAAAGTAATTAATTAAATTAGTAATCATTGGATGTTCTTTAAAATACGTAATTACTAACTTGTACCAGAAATGGGATGAACCTTTGGCCTGGCCAAGTAATGAGCTGGGATTTGGCCTGCAACAATTTATGTTATGAATATTCTTTTTACAATTAATTATATATATATATATATATATATATACACACACACACACNTATATATATATATAAATTAATGTCTGTGCATACTTTAAGACTCCTAAACTATCCAACTAAGGATTTAATAAAAAGTTTTCTTTATGAAATTTGTTTACATAACCTTTTTGAATAAAATTTTGCCTATTTGTGTCATAAAGTAATTTATTAAATTTTTAATATATCAAATTCTCCAGTAAAGCAGAGTATTTTTCGTTTGTGATGACGATTTGAGTAATCCAAGTTTGATAATGCAATTTGTAGATAAAAAAGAATAAATTGATACCTGATGGCAAGTCAAGAAGAGTGCAAACCAGACAAATACTCCTGAAATCACTTGGGCACCAGTCGTTTGAAGAAAAGTTGGCGGCACATCTATGTCGGAAGAATTAGTAGTAGCATTATCTTTCACTATCATTCCTTGCGTTTCATTACTCATTTCAGGAGGAATGGCAATTGTTGAAATGTTAGTTACATCTGTAACATTAAATACAGCTGAAATAATAAATTAAATATCATTTATCAACTAATATTTTTTCAGAAATAGAAATATATATGAGTTCAAAAAGTATATAATAAGGCTAAATAAGATTCAAAATTAGTTAAAATTCTATTTTGATTGTTAATGCTGCAATATTGGGGGCGGTCAGGGGTCTATCCTCATTGATGATCCGAAGACCACACTGATATGAATAACAGTACCAGAGCGTGATAGTAATGAGCCACAACTGTATCTTTTCCTCCCTGCCAAGGCTGTTAGACACACATTATAATTCTCTCATTCCAATGAAACCGATTAAATATAATTTTAAATTTTATAATTTTTTAGTTAGTTTCTAACATTGTGTGCAAATTTCTCCACTATTTCATTAATAATATTTCGTAGAGCCACATTTTCAAGAAACAAAATTAACATTACAGATATGGGTAATTTTAAGTAGCTTGGAGGAACACAGTGTTCAAACATAGGGATCATAGTGTTTTCTCTAAAGTTGTTTACGAGAGGGGGCATTATTAATTGTAAATTATTTTGACTATTTTAAAGAGTAAAAAATACATATTTAATGAAGCTTATAATTTCTTCTTGAAATAATGCTTTTGGGATTCCATGAATTTTGGAAAATTGAAAATGATTGCTTTGTACTAGGATTAGCTGGTTTAAACCAATGTGGTTTAAGCCAAATAGGTTTTTTTTTAAAAAAAAACTTTTTTGAAAATAAAATATTTTGAATAATTTAATTTTATATTATTCATATAAATTCTTTCAATTTGATTGTAACAAAATAGAGAAAAAAAATACAAGTTTTTTTACAATTTTTAATTTAATTGATGATAAGAAGCTACATTATTTTTAAAAAATCATAAATCTGCAATTTTAAAATGCTTATACAGAAATTGTTCTTTTTTATAAAAATATCTAAGTTAAACAGGGTTGGAATTTTTTCCTAGATTTAAATAATTTTAATTTCATATAGTGACAGAAAGTTTAAAGTTTCTAACGTTTATTTATTTCATTTTTTTTAAAAACTAGCATATTTTTTACAGAAAATTTGAAAAACAGTCTCATATTATTTAAGAGTTGGTTTGAGGTATTAATAAAATTTTATTATGCAATTTTAGCATTTCTTCATATAATTATAAAATAAAGTTTTACTATACTCTTCATCTTAAAATATTAAAAAAAAAAATTTTTGGATCATTGCTCTGTAGATCAAAGCATCTTTAGCTCGTTTCACTTGAAAGCAGTCTAACACAGCTTGATCTATGTCATCAAAATTTGTTTTTCTCTTTCTACTAAAGCTTATACCTATTACTTGTGTATTCCTTTCAAATGCTTTCTGCATTTTTTTTTTCTCTTCAAAATTTGAGCTTGAAAAATTATAAATTGATTAGCTATTTCAGTTTGGGTATTTCTGAAATGTATTGCTTCCAAGACTTATTTTTATTTTCGAAAAATTCAAATCATTCCTTTTTGCACTTATCCTACAACCAAATCAGAGTTATACACTGGAGTAAGTAATGATTATCTTACTTTAGAGAAAGACACACTGTACACTAGTGTGTAAGCAAGTTTTTGAAACTTTTTCTTATTAAAGCAAATAGTGCACCATCCCTATGGCAGAATTTTTTTGAGCTATCTGTGACAAACATCTCTAGCACTAATATCTTTCTGTAAGATACTCTTAATTATAACAAACATACATATTACTAATTTAAAATAACAAAAGAGCTGTGTTTACAACAAAAAAAATAATAATAATTATAATCTTTTTTAATTGAACGTGTAATAATTTTTTATTCTAATATTATGGATGATATTCTAGCAATTTATTGGGGGGGCGCACAAATTATTTCCTTCTTCGCATTTTGCAAATAATCATCACAATGAAAAAAGTAATTAAAAATCATGAAATCTGCAATAGTAATTGCCGAAAAAAAGATCGACAACAAAATCACGCAAATTGGACTTCTCAAATGAGTGTTTAGTTTTGAGATTAGGTTGTTGTCATAAATAATTTTGTATCAAAAATATTGAATTTAAAAATTATGGAGAAATCAAAAGCAATAGCTGCCAAAAATTTGATAGAATTATTGCCTTGAAAAGTAAATACTCAAATTCACAATTCGAATTTTCCATATTGTTTGAAATATATTAGGATATTTGAAATCCACGTAAAAATCGAAAATATAATCTTAACATTTTTACGATACTAACGGCATGAATTGAGTGTGTCAAAAAGTTATTAGCGAAATGCATGATTTAAATAATACATGCAAATTTCTGTAGAAAAGATTTTTTTTTACTTCTCAAAAGAAAAATCTCTTCGCAACAACTCTGACACAATGTCACCTTGTCGCTGTGATTCTGGCACGGGGTGCACCATAAGGGGACTACAAACCTTGATCCTGAAATAAATTACTCTGTAGCTTCCTGATGTGCAAGTGAAATGTGTCAAAAAAAACCTTTGCTTACTCCAATATATAACTAGCAACAAGATTTATTTTATTCTTACACCACTCGACTAACACTTATTTAGAGCAACAAATGAATAGGAAGTCTCTATTGAAATGACCACCAATTGCATTCTATTCTTCTCAGCAAAAAAACAAAAGTTCCATTTTGGCCAGTGAAAAGTTTCTTAATAATAACATTTTTCATTTCAATACTTCTTGTTTATGTAATTAAGTGACGATTGGAAACAACAAATAAATGTTTAAACGAGGAAATGTAACATCAGTTTCAAATAGACGGTTTGGATTCGATAAAATTTCTTTCTTATAAAAGAGTTATTCAATTATCGGATATCCATTTAAGTGGGAATAACTGTATAATATTACAACATGAAAATTAGTCTACATTTGAACAATCACTTCTAAGAGTGTTTAACTAGCACAAATTTCATTGTAAATCCATGATTGTTGTGATAGGTTTTTTTATGGGGGAATAGATATTGCTATATTTTTTCTGATAGATTTAAAAAATAAAAATTCCTGATACTTTTTATTTAACATTATAATAACACTCGAAATTTGAATTGCGCATTTTATTATTTGAGATGATGCAAAGTAATTAAATGCTTTGCTTTCACTGCTTTTACAATCAAATTTGAATTTCCCTGATTTTTAAATGGCCATACATATAATGTCATTATAACATGAAAATTCAATCAAATTGTGCAGCTAAGTAATCACTTTCTACTGCCTACATTAGATTTAGTGATGATTCAATGGTAGATACAAGTGGTGATTTAATAGTTTTTCGGCTGTTGTTAATTTTCAAATGAGTTTAGTTTTTAAATTTCTTTCACATATATTTTTTTTTTAAAAGTCTGATATTTTTACATATATCATTTTAACTTTTTGACAAAACAGTTCTGTCGTTTAACGGATGATTTCTTGCCGTTTCTGTTAGATTTTTACTAGGTTTTTAAAATCCAGATATTTTTAATATATATTATTTATTATGTCTAGCAAGTCTCAAACCATTCATTTGAATAGTTGCTTTTTGACGGAGTCACAGTTCACATGATTTTATTGCAATTTACTTGATCCCATTTTTTAATAATGTGAACATATTTATCATATTATATTAATGTTAACATAATGTGAACATATTTGTCATAATATTATATTGATTTGTATGTTGAAGAGAAAAAAATTATTACAATTAATTCAAATTTTATGAATGTTATTTTAGTATATACAAAAAGATAATCTATTAATATTTTTCATTTCATTGAACAAAAATAATCTTTGATAAATTTAGTATTAAGAAATTGCTCTTTCTTGACTATTGTTTAATACTGTTTCTCAATTAAAAATGTAGTGTTTGAACAAAAAAGGCATAAGATAGAAAAGTCATTTTAATATTGAAATATACATTCTTAAAGTTTATTTTAACATATTTTTTGATTCTTTATGCCATAGCAACTTACTGACAAAAAAGAATACTTTTTGTATTGTTAAAGAAAAGGCATATAACTTGTAATTTATTTAATAAAATATGTAATTTACTTAGTCATTTGAGTTGAAATTCAGTTTTATAAATTATCATAATTTCAATATATTTTGATTTCCTTTATTTTTAAAACACATACTGACTTATTCAAAAAAATGTGCAAAATCAAATTATTTTTTTCTCCTTGTTAAAAAAATTACCCACAAAAATTTTAAACACTATACAAACTTTACTTTCAAAAAATAATTTTTAAAAAATGCTATAATTTTAGGAGAAATATTAAGCTCTGAGAACTTTCTGCCCCTGATTTATTAAATGGTCATATTTAAACTAAATCTATATAGCATAAGTAAACAATAAAAATTAATTAAAAACAACACCAGTTCTATCATTCAAAAATTTTAATTATTAGAAGTAAGTATGAATCCAACTACTTTAGAAAATCCCATTGTAATTTCAATTGGAAAAAGTAATAACAGGCTACCACCACAAATTTAAGGATATTTATTTTAATAAAAAGTTTATAAAATTTTATTAACATGTTTATAAAATTAATAAGAATAATACCGAAGACAGAATTCTATTTTTCTGACCTCATCACAATTTTGACACAATAACGGCGAGTTGACACTCCCAACTATTGTCCATTTCTATACACTGTTTAAGTGTAATACTTTATGAAAACCCAGCTAATTTGCACAATAAATAAAATTTAAAAAATAAAACATATTTAACCCATATTTTAAGTAAAATTGCTTGTATAACTGTCAATTTTCAATTACCGTACCTATTATATTTAAACAATCAAGGGACATAAATATCGGTACAAAACATTAAAATATCAATCAGAAATAATAATAAACCAATAATCAGAATAAACTATGTAAATTTAATTCATTAGGATACAATTTTACCCAAACAACTAGTTGTTTTATTTAATAAGTAAAATTGTCAACAAACGGAAATGTGGAAGATTGATACATACATTAACTCCATATTGAGAAGTTTAAATTGAATAATAAAATGATGCTTTCAACAGATATTGTGAAGAATTTAAGCATTTTTTCATTAAATTAATAAAAAAGGAAATCAATCCCCATTATGTATTTTTGGATTGCGTGAAGAAATGACATACCCATCATTAACACAGATTCCAGATGTTAAGAGCAATTACTTGAGAAGACATACAAAACCGTTTCTAAACTAATCGTATGTTACAAAAATGACAGTCGAGAATGTCATGCTGAGTGTAGCACAACAATTACAGAGATTTCTAAAATATTATTCCCATTTTTTTCAATTCATAAATCAGAAAGGATGTCAAATCAACACCGATTAGCGTAAACGTAAGTATCTCTATTTATTTATGACGTCACAGATAGCACAAAATCTTGATTGCCAGGTCTAGCATTCAAAATTAAATAAAGATTTGACAAGCACTTTGTCTTGAATGCCGGACTTTTAATAACCCTATATTTTGTTGATCAACTGAAAAAGATGATCGCCAAGCGAATTCTATCGCCAAGTTGACGGAATTTTGAACGGAAATGTCGGAAAAGTTTGAGCGGGAAAGATCATAGAGAAATATATATTTTCCTGTACACTTTCTTGAATATCAACAATATTCTAAAGATCAAGAATATCTGCAATATCCTTCTCAATAAAAGAGATTTGTGGCCCTGTTTGGCACTAAATTTCTTGCTGAAATCTGCCGTATTTCAAAAGATATTAGTGTTATTAAGTAATTCTGGAGGGTTTGAAGTGAAAATTTGTTTTAGTTATTTATAGATATATTGTTAAAAAATGTGACATGGTTGCTGGATTTTGAATAACTCGCTCTTTTGGCAGTCCTGATTTGGCCTCTTTCCACTTATTCATTACTGTTGTTCTTATTGCAAGCTGTGCACTATCTTACGTTACTGTTAGCACCTTTAGCATTGTAAATACAAGTAATAAGTAATCAAATAGCACATTTGCAAAAATCACAAAACACATTGATCACGTTATGAGCCAAATGGCTTTAAAATACAACGGAAACGGTAGGAAATATAGGCGATATGGAGGGAGCTTGCAGCGTTCCCTAGTGTAGAAAAAACCATCCGTACATTTCTTTTTACTAGATTTCAGTTGCTTTATTTTTGTTAGATGGCTGTGGTCAGTAAGCGGGTGGGTGGTATCGGTCCTCGCTAAACTGTTCTACCGTAAAGTGCTGAACTTCATGCGCTGTCCGTCGAGCTACCAAAGCGGGGAAGTCATTCCTTCTGCAGATAATCAAAATTGAGATGGCATGTCTTCGGATCATCCTCGGGGATGTTTCCCAGACAGTCGCAAATTGCCCATTGTGGAGCTCTAGTGCGACGTTAATAAAGTACATTTGGTAGCAGTGTTGCCAGAACTTAAGATTAAAAAGTAGCGAATGGGAGCTCCAAAAGTAGCGGATTCGAACATTTTGTAGCCCAAAAATAAATCATATATATATATATATACACATATATATATATATATATATATATATATGTGTATATATAT